AAAAAAAGAAAATAAATAATCACTCCTTATGATATTTTTTCATTTTTATTTTAACCATAATAGCTGCAATTAAAAATAAGTCATTCACTTTTTAAATTAAAAATTTCTCAAAATATTAGTACTTCTCATGACTCAAAAACCAAATCTTTAAGATCCATTGTTAGCCCTTTCGGAAAATTCAAAAGAACCCATGATATTGTTTTTGGCAATGAATCAAACGTGCAATCAATACTTAGAAGAAGGTTGTTTAACTCAAACAAAGAATCTGATTGTGGAAAAATGGAAAAGTAACCGACTAATCTGTCTTATAATTAGATTATTAGTCTCACATGGTACTCCAACCCCATATAGGTGAAAAAGTACCCTTGCATTCTAGGGTCTAATTTGCATTTGTCTTAATTAGGCTAGTCTCACTTTAATCTTTAGCTATGTAGGGTGAAAAAGACTTTGTTTTCTACATATGTCATCCATCTCAAAATGCGACTAACAATTTAGTTTGCAAGCCATATGATTGTTATATCATATTTTTATGGGAAAATGACATAATTAAGATATTATTAGATTATAGTATAATACGTGCGTACATAATTAATTATTTTAATTTAATATTCACTCGTGATATTATATATAATTATTTATTTAATAATACATCACATTCATTTAATATTATGTCATAATTATAAATATAAAATTTTATATTTTATTGTAATTATAACACTACAAAATAACGAACAAAGTGTACAAGGTATGATAATTGAATATACTTTGTAACCCTCCGACTACATTATAACCTTGAGAAATTGAATCCAATATTTTACAAATGGTTATATATGTAAGGGACATTGGGGTAAACTAAGGAACAAAAACTTAAAAAAGAACAGAAAAAATTCTACCAACCCATCCCTTTCATTTTTATTTGTGATCCCATGTGACTGTGAGCATCTCTTGAAGGACGAGACCTATCAACCATAAATAAGGCAATTGCCGATCCCTTTGCTTCCTCTCCTGCTGTTTTTATTACCACTTCACCTGTTTCTGGACCATTTCTAGCTAACAGCTCATGACAAGTGGTCTAAACCCAACATTAAACCCAACATTAAACCCACCACACATGTAATAACCCACACCAGCCTGGTCTACTTCATGTTGGTTTTGTAACAAAAAGCCTCTCACAATCATGCTTCATGATTTGAAGAATGTGATTTTCAGAAAAAAGCAGAGCTTTTTAGGGATTTGGGGACGATGAAGATAAAGTTGTGGCCTTTGTGAGGGTGATTTTGCTTTTAAAGCTTTTGAGAAAGAGAACAACTGAGAATGATACTTTCTTTTGGGTCCCAGTCAAATTTCATCGCCTGGCTTCTTGAGCTCATTCTGATCTCCTGTGAAAGATTGAGGCTTTTCAGTAAGTTTTGAGTTTTTTTTTCTTGGGTTATTCTTACATTAGGGATTTTCTAGTTGACTTGGCACTAGGTTTTGGATGTCTTTTGATGTGAGTTGGAGATAAAGATGAAATCTTTGAGCAGTGTGGGACTTGGGTTGAGCATAGTTTTTGGGTGTCTTTTGTTGGCTTTGGTGGCTGAGTTATACTACTTGTTGTGGTGGAAGAAGAAGTTTGTAAACAGAAATGTTGAAAATGACTACATCAATCCAGCCAGGGAGTTCTTGTGCATGTTTTGTTGGAGAAGGGCATCTTCTTCTATGAGCCACAAGCACTTGAATCCCCAAGAAATTAGAATCAGAGATACCCTTGTTCAGGACACAGAGCACTCAAACAAGGATTTGTTGCTCAAACCATTTGGGGAAGATAGCTTGGAAACAGAGCTCAACAGGCTGCACTGCCTTGGACCACCGAGGTTTCTCTTCACGATCATAGAAGAAACGAAGGAGGATTTGGAATCTGAAGATGGAAAAAGTAGGAAAGGGTCAAGAGGAAGAAGCTTGAGTGATTTTATTCTCACTATGGAGACCCCATATCTAACTCCTATTGCATCCCCACCATTTTTCACACCTCCACTTACTCCCATGGCTTTGGAGTCCTCTTATACTCAACAACAAGGATTCAATCCTCTCTTTGAATCAACAACAGATGCAGAGTTCAACAGGATAAGGTCATCTCCACCCCCAAAGTTCAAGTTCTTGCAGGATGCAGAAGAGAAACTCCAGAGAAGAAAACTGATGGAAGAAACTGCAAAAAGTGATGGGTTGGTTCAAGAGACTGGAAGCAGGACGCCTAGTTCAATGTTTCTCAAAGATGAAGAAGATGGGTCTTTCATCACAATCATTGTTGACAAGAACAAAGAGAGAGGGTTTCTTCACCAAAACCATCATCATCATCCTCCACAATTTCATTCAAGTACTTCTCAGGTTCTTCCTCTTTCTTCTTCACCTTCAAAGTTCAAGCCACCAGTCACAAACAAAGTGAAATGAGTTCATTTTTTTTTTTCCTACTAATTGTATTAGCTCTTTAATTAATCCTCCTAGTTTTGTTTTTACTTTTGACGAGTGTGGTATTATGAATCTTATGAGGTGGGAGACAACATTCTGTGTAAGCATGATGTTGTTGATGTAGTAAAATGCAGAAAGAGGGGGACGTGTGGGGGTTATTTGTTTTATTCAATCTCCATGTCTCCTGAACTGCTTGATATCTGTAATCATTCTTGTTTGAATAAAGGATGAATATGACTGATGTTCTTGGTCAAAACTCACTGTAAAATTCTTTCATCCCATATGGTAAAATCCCTTTTTACTTTGGTGGCAATGTGATGTGGACCGTCCGATATCACCTAACAAAAGTATATGATGATGGGTTTTAGTGGACCATGCCTTGTGAGGTAGATAAGAGCCCTTTCTTTAAAATGCCATGGAAGAAGATGACACAGCTGGAAAAAGGGGTAAAGGGAAGAAGAATAGTGATGTTTCGGCCTTTTTCCCAAACAACAAAAGAGGTGAAATTTGCCTGTGAAAGTGTCTCGTGGGTATAGGCCGAAAGGAAACCCCACCTTCAGGAATCATTACAGGCACTGCCCTTTCTTTTCATGCATCTTTCTCACATCAATTGCTTTAGTACTCCATCCATGGCAGATAATCATGAACACATGCTCATTTTGCTGCTTTTCCCCTTTTTCTTTTTCCTTTTCTCAGAAGACAAACAGAAACATAAAATACAAAGAGATGATCTTCAGAAGTCTGTTCAGTTTGTATAAATTGCATGAAGTTTGTATGACATATAATGCAATGATTTTCATTTCAACAGATTAGAGAGTGAATAAATTAAGTTTCAAACCCAAATGGGTCAAAAAAAGAATAAAGAAAACAATTACAACAAGCACTCATGCAAATATAAGTAATGCCTTCCAGTGTCCATCGTGAAGTTGACTGTCATGAAGGGTAAAACCTGAGTCATACAATTCCTAATGCGGCAAGATCTGTCATTCCAAGTTCAGGACAGAGGGGGTTTAAATCAGGTTCTTCCAAAAGGCTAAAAGCCGTATACCCATAGTAGGAGTGGTATAAATCTGGCAGCTCTCCCGGGTATTTGCTAAAACCACCAAACTGAGGAAAAGATCAATTGTAAGCATTGGAAAGAATTTTTTACCATGTCTACATTTGACATGGATATTCATTCAAGAAGAGAGAATGGTACCTCATATTGACAAGTCAGCAAAAATCTACGCAAAGCTATCTTTTCAATGAATTTGTAGCCACCTAAGATCCTCAAAACAGCCCCCACCCTGCACAAAAACATTGCACCCATTAACACAAATGCAACTGACGCTGAAAATTCCAGAGATTTTCTTATTATTACCAAAATGCATAACATGTGTCACTAGACTTGTTGGCTCTGCCTTGAAATCCGCCATCAGCTGCTTGCCTCTGTTTGAGATAAGGAAAGAAATAGAGTGCAATAACTTGTAAGGGAAAAAGACAACTGACATATTTTGAGTACTGAATTTTCAGAGATAATTATATGGGAGACATATTGAGAAGCTGTGACTTTATCAACATTTTTTAGCTCTTAATGACTTTGTCTCTATTATTCACTTGTTCGAATCCTGAAGGTAAAAAAAGTGATGCCACCCCCGCCACCCAAAAAAAAAATAAAAAACTGATGGTAAAAAGTAGAAACTAGAGCATCTTTGCATGGTAATAGTGCTTCTGATATTGGATGGCAAATACAAACCTGCAAGCACCAACTCAGCACCAATGGCATGTTTATGACAGATGATGATGCACTTTTTGACAGATGTTCATCTTCAATGAATCCCATTAACCGAAGAGATGCCACAGCACAGTAAGTACCACCCCCTGTATCACTAAGATGAATGATGCAGGTGACATTGGGAGATTAAAACAAAACTATGAAAATGGAGCTGGTTTATTCAGACATTTTTACTGCTAAAAGTAGATCCAACAGCATATGACACTGAGAAATGAGATGAATGAATTAAAGAAGAAAGTTTGAGGGAAAGAATATGCACCACTTTTAACTGAGAGTAAAGCTATAAACAAACTTATTTTTTCATAAATTCACCTTTTCAGCCTCTACTGCACAAAGCTAAGAGTAACATACATCAATAATTATAAATAAAAGGTACCATTCAACTCACCGTGAGATTCTGATCCAGGAGTCAAGCCAAAACCACCATCATAAGACTGCAAGATTAGAGAATAACACAAATAACAAAAATAAAATTATAAAGAATAGCAATGTAGAGAATTGGACCACACAAGGACAGACAGACCTGGCATTGCAATATGTAATCTTTGGCTTTCTCCCTGTCCATGCCACTCCAGTCCCCCAACATAAAGCAGATAGCAGCTGCTACATCAATTAGCTAAACTGAAATTTCATCATAGGAAAAACTAATTTTTAAAACTTCACCATACATCAATAACATTTTCATTTCTTACCAGCACAATATACAAATCGAAGATCCGTCTCTGCCCCAACATGGATGGGCATAAAACTGTAAAAAAAGGAAGGAAATGCTGTAACTCAGTCAACTTTATGCCACTACAACCAGTCTAAAAAGGTAGGTTCCAGTATTTAAAGGAACTTGAACTTCTCAAGAAAAAGAAAATATGCATGTTGTTCAAAGCATATTTTAGAGTTTACCTTCCATCAGGCTGTTGAAGATTTCTCATTGAAGTCAATATCAATTCAGAGTCAATATTTGACAAATTAAAGCCAACAATCTTTAGTATAGCTACTGCACAATAAGTGCTTGCCAGGTGACTTCCATTGTGACTCAAAACCTATTTTCAGATAAAAAGATAAAGTTATAACAAGGATGCAGGAGGAGATAACAGATAGATAAAAAACTTTTGGTCAGTGCATAGGTAAAAATAATGCATTGTGAAATTTTTATTACCCCATTTTCATCTGGTGGGAACTGAGATGTTCGGGAACCATGGAACCCGTA